GAAGAAGCCTATTGAATGTCAGCAATTTCAGTCAATTACTTCTAGAGTTATGGCCCTTATTTTACTTTGTTGAACCTTGTGAACGTTCGAACGACAAAAGTTATCATCCGATCTGTATGAAATTGATATGTATTATTTGAATTAGTAAAACGAAAAAGTCTGTCAAATTTCAACAATTTCTGTAGATTACTTCCAGAGTTACAGCCCTTGTTTTAGTTTTTAGAACCTTGCATGTGAACCCTCAAACGACGAAAATTATAATGTCATCTGTATGAAATTGTCTATTAAATGCCCCCTAATTACCTACAAAAGAACAAATATACGACAACTCTTGTCAACCGCTCGGACGATTTAGCTGCTGTGGGCGTATGTTTAGTTGCCTGGCAACCTATCTTTTAGCTTGTGGTCCCTCTGAAGGTCACAGTTATTATCTGATTTTAAAAATTGTTTGAATATATCACCGTAACACCATTATAAAGGTTGAGTTCAAATTTCCTGAAAATCAAACCAAAACTGCCGGACAAAATGGCCGCCGCTTGTACGCGAAAGGTGTAAAAATATGGTATATCAAGGTTGTGGACCCTGTAGAGGTCACAATTTTAATCTGATTTTGATGAAACTTGAAATGCATGTTTATAACCCAAAGATCTTGGTTCCTTTCGATATCTGGGCATATCGAATTGTAACTTCATAAATTATGGCCCTTGTTTGTAGGAAAAATCACTTTCTTTTTAGCTTGTTCTCTATCCATCTCTCAAAAATGTGGGCTTATCCTGCCTGGCAGCCGCTGGTTAACTTTTATAGTGAGAACTACCAGCTCTTTTTCTAATCTCCCATAATGTATCTTTAAGTAAACCAAGGAAGTGCTCCTCTGGGTGACCGTCAAGAGTTATCCAACGTGCACATACACTTAGCTCATCAACAGTGCTAATGTCCTGGCTCTCATCTAGGAAGAGGTTAAAGACTGAAGATGCTTTCAGCGAAAGAAGCATACCATCTTCAATCCATATGCCCACGGCAATTACATACTCCTCAATCGCCTGAAAACAATAAAAACATATACTTTATGATATACAGGTCATAATTTTTATTTGATTTCAACGAAACTTGAAATATAGCTTCATAACCCAAAGATCTCGGTTCTTTTCAATATTCGCGCATATCGGACCGTACCTTCCTGAATGATGGCCCCAGATTGTACGAAAAATCGTGTTTTTAGCTTGTGCACCCTATAGAGGTCATAATTTTTATCTGATTTAAAAAAACGTTTTAATATATCACCGTTACACCCTTTAGATGGCCGAGTTTGAATTTCGTGAAAATCGGCCCAAAACTATCAGACAAAATGGCCGCCCCTCGTTCTCAAATAGCGTAAGAATATGGTGATAGGTTGTGGACCCTATGTAGGTCACAATTTTTGTCCGATTTTGATGAAACTTGAAATGTAAGTTCATAACTGAAAGATCTCGGTTCATTTTGATATTCGCGCATATCGGATAGTAACTTCCTGAATTATGGCCTCTGATTGTACGAAAAATCGTGTTTTTTAGCTTGTGGACTCTATAGTGGTCATAATTTTTATCCGATTTAAAAAAAAACTTTTAAATATATCACTGTTACACCCTAAGGATGGTTTAGTTCGAATTTCGTAAAAATTGGACCAAAACTGACAGACAAAATGGCCGCCCCTCATACTCAAATAGCTTAAAAATATGGTATATCAATGTTGTGGACCCTCTAGAGGTCACAATTTTCTTTTGATTTTGATGAAACTTGAAATATAAGTTTATATCCCAAAGATCTTGGTTCCTTTCGATATTCGCGCTTATTGGATAGTAACTTCCTGAATTATGGTCCCTGATTGTACGAAAAATCACATTTTTAGCTTGAGGTTCCTCTAGATGTTACAATTATTATCCGATTTAAAAAAAGGTTAAAATATATCATTGTTACACTGTAATTTTGGTTGACTTCAAATTTCGTGAAAATCGGACCAACTTGCCGGACTAAATGGCCACCCTTCGTACACAATTAGTGTAAAAATATGGTATATCAATGTTTTTGACCCTCTGGAGGTTACAATTTTCTTCTGATTTTGATGAAACTTGAAATGTAAGTTTATAACACAAAGATCTTGGTTTTTTCCAATATCTGCGCATATCGGATAGTAACTTCCTGAATTATGGCCCTTGATTGAACACAAAATCATGTTTTTAGCTTGTGGTCCCTGTAGAGGTCACAATTTTTATACGCCCACATTTTCATGTGGACGTATTATGCCGTCGCCCCTCTCCGTCTGGACGCAATTTGTTTGTGGACACTCTACAGGTCACAGTTCTTATCCGATTTTGACGAAACTTGAAATATAGGTTTATCTCCAAAAGATCTCGGCTGCTTTCGATATTGGCATGTATTGGATCGAAAGTTCATGGATTATGGCCCCTGTTTGTACGAAAAATCACGTTTTTAGCTTGTGGACCATATAGAGGTCACAATTTTTATCCAATTTTTATCCGATTCTGTTGAAACTTGAAATGTAGGTTTATAACCTACTGATCTCAGTTCCTGTCGATATTCGCGCATATCGGACTGTAACTTCCTGAATTATGGCCCCTGATTGTACGAAAAATCGCGTTTTTAGCTTGTGGACCCTATAGAGGTCATAATTTTTATCCGATTTAAAAAAAAATTTATCCAATTTTCTTGAAACTTGAAATGTAAGTTTATAACCTAAAGATATTTGCGCATATCGAATTGTAATTTTCTGAATTATGGCCCTTGATTGTAGGAAAAATCACTTTCTTTTTAGCTTGTTCTCTATCCATCTCTCGAAAATGTGGGCGTATCCTGTCTGGCAGCCGCTGGTTGTCTGATTTAAAAAAAAATGGATCCATTTGATAATCGCGGATACCCCAACTTAACTTCCTGGATTATGGCCCCTGATTGTTGAAAAATGGCATTTTTAGCTTGCGGATACTCTAGAGGTCACAATTTTTTTTCCGATTTTAAAAACCATTTAAATATTTCACCATTCCACCATAATGAAGGTTGAATTCGAATTTCGGGAAAATCAAATGAAACTTCCCAACAAAATGGCCGCTATTGTGTAAAAGTATGCACTACGAAGGTTGTGGACCCTCTAGAGGTCACAATTTTTATCCGATTTTGATGAAACTTAAAACATATCTTTGTATCCCAAAGATCTTAGTCCCTTTTGATATTTGCACATTTCAGACCATAACTTTCTGGATTATTGCCCCTGATTGTACAAATAATCACGTTTGTTTTTAGCTTGTTCTCTATCTATGTCTTGCAAAATGTGGGCGTATCCTGCCTGGCAGCCGCTGGTTATTAGTGAAATTAGGCCGGGTAAAGCCGTCAGACACAGTCTCGTCAGTCAACACAGTGACAGCTTCAGAATCAGAACCACGGGTAGGCCTATTGGTTGAGCGTGATACTGTAGCTGGTGCGCCCTCAGCATGCTCATCAGCTCGCACGGGCCTTTTAATTAAAAATGTATCCATGACCGGTATTGTTTCAAATAGGGCAAAGTGTCAACAATGTCTAATAGTAAGTTCTGGAGGACCGCACTACACGCAAAACAAAAATCTACAACCGCGGTACCCAATCTGATTAAAATACGGATCTATATTTTGTTTCGTTTTTTTTTATACTTTCGATGGCCTACACTACATGAAGATCTGACTAATTTCGTGCACCTCATTGCTCACGCCAACAAACCGTTTCATTGGCTAAACCCTCACATCATCAAGAACACGTCAATGATGACAACTCTTCCAGATCCTAGTGTAGTAAAGACAAGTAAAACGAAATTTTGAACTATAAAAAACGATACGAAATAGGATCTGTGTTTTAAATAGATTGTGCATTACTTTAACGTCATTGCACGGGAAATTGTAAGTGGAGCTGTCTGGTCATAGCCTGATTGTGGGCGGAGTCGACGGAAAGGTCAGTTGCACAGTATGACAATTTCATTTTGAAAGTCCATTCTATCTGTGTATCAAACTTAGGAATAAAGCAACAGAAGACAGGTATACAACACTAACTTCCATTTAATTCAAACCATACTAAAAATATACGTTGTTAAATGGGCCGTTGACGGACATTTTATCGGTTTGTCATATGTTAGTATTTGTAGGAGCCCGTTCGTAATTAAGCCGTATATCCAAACCTGTTTTTGTATGTATTTTTTGTTAGTTTTTTTTATGCACGTTTTGACGAGCATTTTGAAAACTACAAATACAACATTTATATTTAACAGAAAGGTCCAAATTGTTTGACGATCTTTTTGAAAACTACAAATACAACATTTATATTTAACAGAAAGGTCCAAATTGTTTGACAAGCAAATAGAACCAATCACACTGTTCTTTGATGTAATTTTGTGACCCTTCTTGATGATCAAAAATTATGTGTTTTGCGTTATTATTTTCAAATGAAAAACACCTGATTAAAAACTGGGACATTTAGGCATGTGAGAGACATCGAGACAGGACGGCAAAACTGCTATCAGTATCAAGTACTCGGCTAGGCCTATATAAAATAACCAACTAAGCATGCGCAGTCTGTCACATCAATATCTAAACAATCCTGCTTGGATAAGTGAACTTTATTGGAGAATGACATGGGAATCATATATTAAACAGCTTCTTGTAGTGGTCTGTCAGCGTTCTTGAAGAAAAAAAAAATTCTGGGGTTGAATGCGCCTACACCTCCCGGTAATCACTGTGCCCGAATGCATCTCATAATTTGTAACAACAGCAAACCACCAATCCTCCCCCACCCCCCGCTGATTTTTACTGGCGGAAACCCTGATCTGTCTTCTGTTATATAAAATTGGTAAAAAATAACTGTGTCTTGTAGTCAGGTATATACGGTATATTGGTAATAAAATTGAATTGGAGATTTTGTGCAAGAAAGTTTTAAACCAGTGTTAATAATATCTATGAATTAATTCATTTTATTTATCTGTTTTGCAGCTTGAACCTATTGTACCATTGCCATCACCAAATCAACTTAAAAAGAAAATACTGATAAAGAATAAACGGCTCAAACCAGAAGTTGAAAAAAGTTAGTTTCTTTTTTCAGGCAAAAAATCATGGGCTTTGTAGCTTTATCACTGTTTCGAAGAAAGCAGGACACTCTTAGACTGGGTTCGTCCTTCTGTCGGTCTGTCATACAATAATAACTCTGTTTCTAAATTTAGGTATATGCTCAAATTTTTTGTAGGTGTTCATTAGGTGAATGCCTGCCAGTGCGAGGATGAACATTTTCTATGCAGGCTAAGCAAAGATAAGCTATTTGATTCTGATTATGTGAGAGTGATGATACTTTGTGTATAGTTACATTACATCAATACCTTAATGAAGTTTGACAATGAGCATTTTCTGCTCAGGATCAGCAAATTTATATAAAGAATTTCATTGGTCGAGACTTTAGAATAACTCAGATTTTAATTGAGTGAGAGTGATGAAACTTGCTGTATAGTTCATTACATCACAACCTTGACTAAGGTCAATGATGAGCTATTTTTCCACGCTATCGAAGAAAGCAGGGGGCTATTAAAATGTAAGACTTTTGCTAGAATTTTTGCTCTTATAATTAATGGTGGCATTATATTTCATTAATTAATGTCTTCGGCCAATTGTACTAAATATGCACTAAAAATATAAATGACAGGTTGACACATAAAAAGAGTTATAAAACCAAAGCATAGCTGGTTCTATGTGTCAACAAAATATTACCAGATGACACGTGGTTGGAAATTTACCAATTGCATCATTTGGCTAAAGTAACAAATGATATCAGTAGTTGCGCAGGTTCAGGGTCATAAATAGCCTAGTCTGTGCATGATGTCCATAGGTCCTTTAAAAGAAATCATGGCAAACTTTTAAGGCAGATTTTCATTAGATTCCGTAGAGATTATCATCTGAGTTCCTAGCACTGTAACCCAGGTATCGTTTAATCTTGTTTTTCTAGCACTAATTTCTTTCACATTCGTTTAATATCAAATCTTTGGTTAAAAATTTGTAAAAACTGTTTAAAATCACCCAAAATCATCTAATTTGTACATGTGTCCAGTTTAAAGCTGACTGATTAATTTTGATAATGAGTGTCCAATTTACAAGTATTTAATTTCCTGATCACTGTTCAAAAATTAATCATTATACATCATTAATCAATTGGGTTGTTTATTTTTTAACAATGATTGAGAAGTTAAACACTTGTAAATTAGACACTCATTATCAAAATTGAATGGTCAGCTTTAAACTGGACAGAAGTACAAATTAAACGATTTATGGTGATTTTAAACAGTTTTTACAAATTTTTACAAAGATTTGATAATAAACGAATGTGAAAGAAATTAGTGCTAGTACAAATTAAACGATTTATGGTGATTTTAAACAGTTTTTACAAATTCTTAAACAAAGATTTGATATTCAACGAATGTGAAAGAAATTAGTGCTAGATACACAAGATTAAATGATACCTGGGTTACAGTGAGACTTGCATTGTTATTCCTGGTAAGACAAACATCTTAACTAACTGAGAAAACAGTAAGAAGTAAATAAACAACGTGATGGGGAAGCAAAGACAACAAGTGAAAATAATAGACAATCACAAGACTACTAAGATATGTAGTAAGAAAAGATGCATGGGTCGTACGTAGGATGTGGCTACCGGATTTGGTTCCCTGCTCTCCACGTCTGACAAAAGACCCATGGTACTACATCCATCACACTTTTTGGGACTCCATAACTCAGCTTCTATTAATTCAGGTAAAATGTGAAACTTGATGTAGGTGTTTATTAGGTGAATGTGAATGTCTTGACTGAGTTTGATGATGACCATTTTCTGTTTAGGCTAAGTAGAGGTAAACAATTTGATTTATTGATGCTTTGGAACATAACTGTAATTCTTATTGAGTGAGAAACTTGTTGCATAATTTTTTTACATGAGAGTACCTTGACTATGTTCAATAATGAACATTTTCTGCTCAAGTTGAGCAGAATGGTAAGCAGTTTGATTGCTCTATGCTTTACTGCATCTCGTCAAAACTTAAATACACCTAAATGGGGGGAAATATGAGTATAGTCATAGACACATAGAGACAACTTGTCCTCAACCCTTCTCTAATTTACATGCCTGTATTATTATTATGCCAAATGTAAGGATTGATTACATTATGGCCCCTGATTGTATGAAAATTCACGCTTTTAGCTTGTGGTCCCTCTAGAGAAAACAATTTTTATACGCCCACCCTTTTATGTGAAACTTCCAATCAGTAGAAACAGGAAACACAAACCAAATACAGACGGTTTGATGGGATCAATTTTGACTGAGTCAAAATGATGCATTTGATATTCAGATAAGCTGATATAAAATAATTAATAGAATACAATATCAAAAAAAACATCGTTTTATGCAACGTTTCATCAGTAAAAATACTAACTTCTTCAGGGATGAAGAACTAAATTCAAAATGACTGGAAGTCAGTTATGACATCATAGGAAGTTATGACATCGTGGGAGTGATGACGTCATAGACTTAGATACATAACGTGAAAGGTTAGCTTAACTAAAACTTAGGTAAAATTTTACAAGTTAGGAAAACTTATGCATGATTATGAATGATTTTGAAACCCCCTGGATTTAACTCATTTAAACCAATTGGCCAAACTGAATCAAGTCTATGAATCCACAGACTTTCTGCTGTGTTCAATTTTTTTGGATCTTTATCAGAAATTTTTTGTACTATGGTACACACGAAATCATGACCTGGTATATTAAAATGGGAGGTTACATGGGGGGAATGGCCAGGATTTTTAAGCTTTATATTACTTCTGTGCTTATTAAGTCGAGTGCTGAAAGGAGTAATGGTTTGGCCTACATATTGCATACTACAGGTTTTACATGTTAAACAATATACAACATAAGAACTGGCACAGTTGACAGAGTCTCTAATCTTGAATGATTTCATGTCTTTACTGGTTACTTCTTGACTATTACACATAGTCTCGCATGATTTGCATAATTTTCGTAAACAAGGTTGACATCCGTATGAAATTTTGTCCTTAATATGCTTATTACTAGTGTCAGAAGTTATCAACTTATTTTCTTTCAAGATATTGCCAATAGTGTGGTTCTTCCTCTCTGTTATTATTATTTTGCTGCTATTCATAATTTTCGTCATACGTGAACTTGTGTCTAAAATACTTCGGTCTTTAATCATTTGGTGAAGGTGAGGTTGTCTAGGGTCAAAGGTAGTTGTCCATGGAATAATGTTCTCATTAGTATCGGTCTTGGATTGGTAGGTCAATAATTCAGTCCTGGTCTTCTGATCTGCACGTTTAAATGCCTTTAGAATAATTTTCTTGGGATATCCGGATTGTTTAAGATAGGATCCAAAATTTTTTAAGTTTGATTTGGTCCAGCTATCTTTACTAAAAATCCGTTTTATGTGGACGTATATTGTTGTTACCCCTGTCTGTCCGTCCATTGTTTGTGAAAACTCAACTCTACAGGTCACATTTTTTATCCGTTTTCAATGAAACTTGAAATATGGGTTTATCACCCTAAGTTCTCAGTTCCTTTCGATATTGGCATGTAACTTACTGTAACCTTATGGATTATGGCCCCTGATTGTATGAAAAATTACGTTTTTATATGCTCACATTTTCATGTGGACTTATATTGTCGTCGCACCTGTCCATCCGGACGTCCGTCTACCATTTGTTTGTGTACAGTCTACAGGTCACAATTTTTATCCGATTTTGACGGAGGTCACAATTTTATTCCGATTTAAAAAAACGTTTGAATATATCACCGTTACACCGATTTTGATGCAACCTTAAATTTATGTTTATATCACAAAAGTCGCGGATCGTAACTTCCTCAATTATGGCTTGTGATCGTATCAAAAATTGCGTTTTAAGCTGGTGGTCCCTTTAGAGCTAACAATTTTTATCCAATTTAAAATAACATTTGAATATATCACCGTTACACCCTAAGGACGCTTGAGTTCGAATTTCTTAAAAATATGGCCGCCCCTTGTTCGCAAATAGTGTCTTAATATTGTGTATCAGGGTTATTGACCCTCTGGAGGTCACAATTTTCATTTGATTTTGATGAAACTTGAAATGCATGTTTATAACCCACAGATCTCGGTTCCTTTCGATATTTGCGCATATCGAACCATAACTTCCTGCATTATGGCCCCTGATTGTACGAAAAATCAAGTTTTTAACTTGTGGACTCCAGAGAGGTCACAATTTTTATCCGATTTATAAAAACGTTTGAATATATCACCATAACACCCTAAGGATGGTTGAGTTCAAATTTCAAAAAAATCAGACGGAAACTGACAGACATAATGGCTGCCCTTCGTTCACAAATAGTGAAATGAAATGAAATGAAATGGAGTTTAACATCCTACTGTTCTGCTCTTAACCTGGGCTAATGAAGACGGGCATACGCCATACAGTGTGCTATGAGGGAAATTTTGCCCGGACAGCGGCACTATGGCCTACTCTTATATCGAATTCCAACTGCCAAGGGATCTTTTACGTGCATGCCAATGTGTACAAGGGACCTCGGTTTTTCGTCACATCCGAACGACTAGACAGCTTTCCTTGTCAGCCCCTCCGTCCTGCATCACTGACAAGGGAGAACCACGCCGGGAAATCTGGATGAACTTTCTCGGCCAATGCAGGGATCGAACACCCGAACTCCAGGCTAGCGAGCTAGCATCTTACCCACACAAGATTGTGTATCAGGGTTGTGGACCCTTTGGAGGTCACAATTTTCCTCTGATTTTGATGAAATTTGAATTGCGTGTTTATAAACCAAATATCTTGGTTCCTTTCTATTTTCGTACATATTGAATCATAACTTCCTGAATTATGCCTCCTGATTGTACGAATTGTGGTCACAATTATTATTTGATTTAAAAAAATGTTCAAATATATCATTGTTACACCGTAATGTTTTTTGAGTTCGAATTTCGTGAAAATCGGGCCAAAACTGCCGGACAAATGGCCGCCCTATGGAAGGGTATGGCTTCCAATATTAAATGCTCTGCGACAATGTCGTTTCCATTGATTATATGTAAAAAGTACAATGTACAAAGTCCTAATTCCGATAATGATAAAGTCAAAATACCTCTAAGGCAAGAGTTAAATGTAAAACGTCAAATGTTAAGTGTTAAATGACAAATGTTTTTTGGGAAAATGCTTTTTTTTCCTGTCTACATTTTACATTTCTCTCATTACATTTTACATTTGCGCTCTGCCACATCCCATTTGTCCTTCACGCTTTCTACATAGCAACTTTCGCACAGCATCCACTTTCATATGCAAATGTAGGATATCATGTGACTTATTAACATACGGAAACCTGGCACATTATAAACCAGCACGATATTCACCGCACGATACAGTAAATCAAGCTGGTACACCATAAGAAACTATCTAGACGACCGTGCGTAATCATGAATGTGTCAGGAAATAATTGATAGATTCAAACAGCCAAAGAAACATACTTTCCAGTAATTTATAACAGAATAACTGGAATTTCGTATTAATACCCATATTTTGATATGGTTTATATATAGTGTGCCGGGTTTCTGTATATGTTAATAAGTCATGTGATATCCTACATTTGCATTCACAATTTAATATTTATTATCATTGGTTTAAAATGATCAGTTTTGTAATAACACTTTCGATATTGGCATGTAATGAACCATAACTTATGGATTATGGCCCCTGATTGTACGAAAAATCACATTTTAGCTCATGGACAATCTAGAGGTCACAATTTTAACCCGATTTTGATGTAACTTGAAATGCATGTTTATAACCCGAAGATCTCGGTTTATTTTGATATTCGCGCATATCGGATTGTAACTTCCTGAATTATGGCCCCCTGATTGTACGTAAAATTGCGTTTTTAGCTTGTGGTCCCTCTAGAAGTCACAATTATTATCTGATTTAAAGAAACGTTTGAATATATCACTGTTACACCGTAATGTGAGTTGAGTTTGATTTTCATGAAAATCGGACCAAAACTGCCCAACAAAATGGCCGTCCCTCGTACACAAATAGTGTAAACATCTGGTATATCAAGGTTGTGGGCCCTCTTGAGCTCACAATTTTGATCCGATTTTGATGGCTGCCGTTCGTTCTCATTTAGCGTAAAAATATCTCGGTTCCTTTCGATATTTGCGCATATCAAATTGTAATTTTCTGAATTATGGCCCTTGATTGTAGGAAAAATCACTTTCTTTTTAGCTTGTTCTCTATCCATCTCTCGAAAATGTGGGCGCATCCTGTCTGGCAGCCGCTGGTTGAATTAGTTTTGGTATACTTGCATCATTCATACATCTAGAAGTGAGCATATAAGTTTTCAGTCTTTTGATACTTTGATAGTGTATTTCTAAACAAAACTGTGGTGGTATGAACTTAATTTGTGTCTACAACCAGGTAATTAGAATGCTGGATACTATACTAAACATCTTAAGACATATATATACAATATACACTACTTATAGTTTTTTATACGCTCACATTTTCATGTGGACGTATATTGTCCTCGCCCCTTTCACTCCGTCCGTCCACAATTTGGTTGTGGACTCTCTACAGGTCACAGTTCTTGTCCGATTTTGACAAAACTTGAAATATAGCTTTATCCCAAAAACATCTCGGCTGCTTTCGATATTAGCATGTATCGGATCGAAACTTCATGGATTATGGCCCCTGTTTGTACGAAAAATCACGTTTTTAGGTTGTGGACCCTATAGAGGTCACAATTTTTATCCGATTTTGTTGAAACTTGAAATGTAAGTTTATAACCCAAAGATCTCAGTTCCTTTCGATATTCGCGCATATCGGACTGTAACTTCCTGAATTATGGCCCCTGTTTGTACGAAAAATCACGTTTTTAGCTTGTGGACCCTATAGAAGTCATAATTTTTATCCGATTTAAAAAACCGTATTATTATATCACCGTTACACCCTAAGGACGACGGAGTTCGAATTTCGTGAAAATTGGCCCAAAATTGACAGACAAAATGGCCGCCATTCGTTCTCAAATAGCGTAAAAATATGGTATATCAAGGTTGTGGACCCTATAGAGGTCACAATTTTGATCCGATTTTGATGAAACTTGAAATACATATTTATAACCCAAAGATCTTGGTTCCTTTCGATATTCGCACATATTGGATCATAACTTCCTGAATTATGGCCCTTGATTGTACGAAAAAATCACTTCTTTTTTTAAGCTTGTTCTCTGTCCATCTCTTGCAAAATGTGGGCGTATCTTGCATGGCAACCGCTTGTTGGTTGTGCATTTACTAATAACACAAAGATTGTCTATCCCTGTACCTTTCAAAACGTGCAGGATATTGATAAATAAGTTTTCTTGCTATTATTATTGATATATTGTTATTAATGTGTTATAGGACAACTAGAATTATATCAGAAAGGATTAATGCAACAGATTAATGAAGACGGTGATAATTTGGAAGATCCTAATCTAGGTAGTAATGTAGAAGGTGAAGAAGGTCCATTAAATGGTGAGATAATTTTGATAAAAAATTTCTATTAATGTCTTATGTATAGGCATATACAGCACTGATGTAACAGAAAACTTTTAACTAGTCAATATTGATCATGCATAATAAACATGAGATATTAAGCAGATTAGACAAGATAATTATACATTGAAAGTCTTTTGTAGTTTACAAACAAATTTGAATATAACAGGTATCTGTAGATTAATTTATTTGTGATCCAAAAATTAATTTGAAACCAATGTTGAATGTTTTTAGTTTGTTCTGTTGACTATTTGAAAACTTGAAACATCAGTGTTGTTAGATGATATTATGATGATTGGATATTGACAGCATACGTCCACATAGTTAATGCACAAATTACACAATTATTTAGTTGAATAACTATTATTGTAAACACATCATAGTATCAAACAGTTGACTTGAAGAATTGTAATAAGTGTTATTTTCAAATCAGATTTTAATATGGTAATATTTGATATCGTATATTACGTGTCATGTAAAAGTGGCATGCTATTTATTGGCGCTAAGTTTGACGAAACTATAGTTTACACATTGTCTTGTATTAAATATAATTGTTTTAGACTCACTGGCACAGTTTATCCCCCCAACCCAACACTAATTCATTTTATCAAGTAACAATGTTTTATGCACTCTTATTGCACCTACTACTACAATAAAAAGATATAGAAGAAAATGAATGAATGGTAATCTGTTTTAATCTTATCATTGATAAATCCTAGTTCTAGGTACACATTGATAAGACTCCGGTTATCGTTGTCAATAGCAGACATATTTGCTGTTTCAGATGTGGAGAATTCTAGCAGTTCCAGTAGTGAATCGTCTCAAGTAGGCGAACCAGTTACGACTAAGCCTGACACTGGTACAATACTATCCACATTTTTATTGGCTCCTATCTTGCCTTTTTTTTTATTATATTTTATAAGTATAGGCATTTGGCTCTGGTAGTTAACATTAATGGTCTGCTTGAATTTTCTTTCTTATGCCTCTGTTGACTTTATTTTGTACCTTCACTTCACTTACCTTACATTAAAAATCTAGCCAAAACCAACCAAAAAAATCATCAATCTTATTTTGCATGTTTATATAAAGATGCATTATGTAAAAGCTAAATCTGCCTATTGCAGATTTTTTTCTTTGGCCTCAAAATGAATTATTATTTAAACATTTATTCACATACCAAGCTCAACATACCAAGCTCAACTCTCCAGAGCGTGAAAGGATTGTGACAAGATCACTATTTAATGATTTAATTTAAAAATTGATAATTAAGACTGTTTATTATCGTAGCAATGAGCAATGAAAATCAAGACTATGCTATTCTTTAGACATTCATAACTTAAATCAGAATGAAGTAATTTAAATGAAATTTTCAATATATTCCTTTTTCATTATCAATTTCTTTAGCAAGAACTGCCAGCTCTTTATCTAAATATTACATAATGTATCTTTCAGTTAATTAGTTGGTAAACTATTCCTATGCATTAAATATAGGCCACCAAAGTGTAACAATTTCTATGATATCTATTTATAAACTTTGTATAAAAAGCTAATATAAAATACATCTTGCAGAGTCAAAAGCCTTTTTTATTTAAAAACTAATTATGTAATTCTGGCTAAAAAAAAAAAATATGAACTAATAGCGTTTAGATGTGAAAGTAATATGTAATCAATTGAACCTGCATAGTCACTTAAATTCAGAAATCAAAATAGATATATGTAAAGAAATACATGATCTATCCATAGCATGTAAACAACTGTGATTCCCAGCTGTGTCTGCTGCTGCCGGTATGCATGTATATTGTGGAATATATTTTGTAATGAGAAATTATAAAATATGGAAATTATAAGGTATGGAAATTTTTGATGTAGTTGTTTTGACATAAATATCGCGTTCGATTAATTGCTCCTGGCTTACTCGACTAGGATCCTCAAGTACGTTTGGACATGCACAGTGGGAACGGGTAATTGAATGATACAGTGCTTTCTTTACGTATCAAAATGAAAAATAAATGCCGCCAAACTATCATGCTCAGTGTTCTGATAAATAACGACAAGCAGACAATAATCCACCACCAAACTTTAATTTATACTGACTTTTTCATTGTCATCTTATTGGAACTATTAAATCCGGAGAAGCGAAATAAAGCTCCAAGGATAGAATGTTATGCAGAACATACAGTCCCTCTATAGTTGCACACCAGTTACAATTCAAAAACATGCAATGGTGTTTCTACCATGGTGTTTCTGGCATATTGCTACCCCAGATCCATTTCGCTCACTATCCGATAGATTTGGAATATCTAAATCAACAATGCACTGTATGTGCCGCAGAGTTTCTAAGGGGAAGATAAACAATCTAATGAAAACAACTATTCAACCTCCATTACCCTATTAACAATCAGGGCTATTAGTAGCTGTCATATCTGACTTAAGTCGTCCAAGATGAAGGACAATCGAATATCATACATCAACCGCAAAAATTTCACTGTCATACACCACACTGTATGTGATCATCGAATTCGCTTTACTCATGTTTACACCGGCTGGCCTGGGTGCACACATGACACTTACGTTTTGAGGAATTTCTTGTATTTTCCTCCAACTAGATAACAAATTTCAGGAGGGAGAATTCCTACTTGGGGACCCAGCCTGCCTTTTTCAGCCATGGTTTATGACTCCACACAATGATTTTGGAAAATTGACCTGGTAATCAAAAGAGATTTAACGAAGGGCTTAGTTCTGTGATAGAACGTGCCTTTGGGCAACTGAAAGGATGCTGAATGTCCTTTTCTAACTCCTGGAATCGTTGCACCAAGGTGTAGAATCACTAAAATAAGTCAACACTCAACACTACTGACTACTGTGGAATGGAAATACTGTATTTTTGAATCGGAGCAATGTGTCAACAATAATTCATTTAAACTTAATCTGAAAATATAACTTGGACCAAAAAGTTAATTTGCTGCCATGTTGAATAATTGGATTATGGGACAATTCCCAAAGTAGTTGGCTCCTTGGGGTAGGTTACTAAGACCTGGCGCGAGTAAGCCTTTAAATGATGTCACCGGTAACTTGAACGCACTCGTGGAGCCTCAAGTAAGCGCGACACTAGTAATCGAACACACCCAAAGATTAAGTATATCTAATATGATTTAAAACCAACATAATGTATATATTAGAGAAATTTCTCATAATAGTGAATAGATGTAATTTTTGTATGTCAATAGTATTTAGTACCAATTGTTGTGTCAGTTATTAGTAGTAAATTGTTATAGTATAGCAAATAACATAATGCTATGAATCCTGGTGTTATGGACCTTGTAATTTCTATTCTTTTTGACTTAATGGCAAGTAAACAAAAGGGTCTGTAAATCTATAAAACATTAAAATGATTACATAGTATTGAGGATTAAAATATAGTTGTAATATAATTATGCTGATTGTTGGATCTTCATGAAATATTATTGATATCATAAACATGTAATGAATTTGATAATTGGGTGAGAATTTGGTGAAGATAGACTGTAAATTAAGAGGGGTTCTTATTGGTGTTATTGTGCATGTTTAAAAGAGGGGAGTGTGTATAGTATTTAGAATTTAAACGCCCACATTTTCATGTGGACATGTTGTCGCCCCTGTCCGTCCGAACGTCCACAACTTGTTTGTGGACACTCTAAAGGTCACAATTTTTATCAGATTTTGTCGAAACTTGAAATATAGGTCTATCTCCCAAAGATCTTGGTTCCTATCGATATTGGCATGTATCGGACAATAACTTCATGGATTATGGCCCCTGATTGTACGAAAAATCACATTTTTAGCTTGTGGACACTCTAGAGGTCACAATTTTGATAAAACTTGAAATGCATGTTTACATCCCAAATATCTTGTTTCCTTTTGATATTCGCGCATATCGGATCGTAAATTCCTGAATTATGGACCCTGATTGTACAAAAAATTGTGTTTTTAGCTTGTGGTCCCTCTAGAGGTCACAATTTTTATCTGATTTCAAAAAACGTTTTTGTATATCACCGTTACACCCTAATGATGGTTGAGTTCGAATTTCGTGAAAATTGGACCAAAACTGACGGAAAAAATGGACTCCCATTGTACGCAAATAGTCTAAAACAAAACATGGTATACCAACACTGGGAAGTATCATAGGTGATATTTGTGCAAATCGGGTATAGATTTCGTGCCAATTTAGTAAATTTCTGCAAATATCGGTAAAATTATAATTATCGCAACAAATCTAATACCCCGAGGCTACAATCTGTACATACGGTGTGTTAATTAACAGGGGTGAGAAATTGACTGAAAGGTGATTTAATTATCGCTAGGGGTGAATATATCCATGACGGTGCGTTTTCTGTACCGGGTGTGTTAATTAACGGACGGGTTAAAAACAACTGACACGGTGTGTATTCTTTGTTTGGTGAGTTTTCTCGAAAGCGTGTTATATTAACTGCAGCAAAGGTGATTTATCAAGGACCAGCAGGCTTTATCTGACACGTTAATGTTAAATCTAATTTACCGTGCGATTTCTTGTTCGACCTTGTGTTTTACGCAGATCGGTCTTTGTTAAGTGTAGGTCTTTATACATGGATTTATACGTGGGGTAGTTACGTATATGCTTTCTTATATGTATTTCATTTCTTGATGAATACTACGTGTTTTATACTTTGTACCATAGTGGGACTGCAGTTATTTATATATTTGATCTTTTTTGTGGGTTTAATTTCTTTACAAATTATCGTGCGTACCACTGAACTATAAATGCACGTATCTTAATATTGATTGCACGCAGTATCGTCATTTCCCGATATCCGAACCAACCTCAATTTGATTATCTGATATATTCTAATCTCCATTGATATCAGATTAACAAATCTGTTTCGAAAGCAAGTTTATAAATATAAAATTGCACAATTAATGAAAACCTGTAAGTTTTCGTCACTGCTATATTTACTATGCGTGGGCGTATTAATATATAAATGTATAGTTTCTTGCCTGGGTCATAGATAGGACTACCAAGATATAACAAATGATAATTCACATATCAAATAACACCAATGAAAATAGGGACATGCGCCCGCTTCCACCCAAAGTGATATTGCCCATTGCCGAACATTATTCAGATTCGATCGAACTCTGTGTAACAAGCTCGTCTTTGAAAGCAAAATACTGATATATGACCTAATATTGAGACGCTTGTTCATATAGCCGCTTGTTTTCGATTGTATGAAATAGCTTTATTATTTTACTCCACGGTACAAAGAAACCACAGGTTCTGTGATTGTGAATCCAGCCTTTATTTTACAATTTATACTGTCGGTTCGTGCACGCTTTTCACACAGAACTGCTCTTTTGATGTTGAGAGGCGACACGCAGTTAGTTCTGCTCTTTGTTTGATGTTAGAGGCGAGGCACAGCTCGTGCTCGAATGGATTAACTGATAAAGTTGGTTGGAATTCGGCCATTGTTACAGTTTATCCCAATAAGTTACTATTAAGTATAACAAAAAGGACAATTTTGTAATGTGGGTGAATACTGTGGTATATTCAATTTTGATCTTATTGCAATGGATAAATGTATGGTTCACTTTTCGAGCATCTCATTTAAATAAAGCTTGATATTCTATTAACATATACTATTCAAAAAAAGTAGGGGATATTTGATTTTTAAGTGTTATTAAAGTCACCTAATGAAACTGACGAAGAAACAAATGACAAAATGAAATGAAGTTCACATTCATCGATTTATTCCAAATGATCGTTAGACTAAGTAAGGCACAGACTGACCATTATAAGGGTAAAATGATACCCGGGGTCAAACAGCAAAGTTACCACAGCATCACAAC